AACTACACCCAGACACCCGTGACACACCAGACAACAGACGAGGGGACACAATGGGGAGACAAAACTCTGGGCCACAAGAACGACCGCAAGCACTGAGAGAATGCGGAACGAGATGAGCCGGGTGAGAACGAAGGCGAGCTGATGAAGCTCACAGAACCCGGGAGGAAGAAGATGCTGACGGAATGACAAACTCCAGGAACCGCCAGGATGGATGCCCAAGAATCTTACGGCCGCAATCCTCTACCTATCTTTGCGTTTCTTCAAGTCCTAAGCCGCTACAATGGATCCTCGCGGCGCACGGCTGTTGACACAGCTCGGAGCAAGACGTCTAAAAGACATCCGATCGGATGCTTGTCAAAAGAGACGCGATTCCAAGGCCCCTGAGAGCTGCCGAGCCGAGGGGCCCAGAGATTGGAGATGCTATAAGCGACGCTGGGGTTTCTGGTAAGCCCCCAGAAGAGATAGGGCAAGGCACGTACAACACAAGAGGCACAAAAGACACAGAAGGCACGACGGACAAGTGACACGATGCGCCCCGAGGCTGCTCTGTCCTGCACACCTCAGCACTGTGAACAAAAGTGAGGCTCTCCCACCGTGTGGCCTAAGGGGCCACAGCCTGGACCTCCCCATCCCCAAAGCTGACTCAAAAATCCCAGGGCACATGTCCCGGCCCGGCACCCCGCTTTCATCCCCTCTGCGGGTTGTAGCCTTCGACTCAGCTCTCGGATGCCCGCTGAGGAGGATCCACACGAAGCGCCAAGGAAGGCCGCCTGGCTATCCGGGAAGTTCCTGCCATCGCCAGGCTGTCGTCTCTCCGTCAACTGCAAAAAACAAAACAGAAAATCAGCAGCTGATCTTTGCAGGGCATCGGCCAAAACCCGACAATTCCGCTACTCACGGTCTCCTGCGAACGGCCGTGTCCTGAAGGCCGCATGATACCGCCACGCCGAAACCAGACACCGTCGTCGCAGAGGGCGCGCCTGAGTTCAGAGAAGAAAAAGTGATGTGGCATTGCTGAAACGTGAACAGGCCCTCGCTCCTCCTCCCGACATCCCCAACTCACGGGAAGCCCTCGGCCCCTTCCTGAAGGCCACCCACACGGCCCCTTTACGTGGAAAAGGCTCCGTCACGCGGTCCCTGTGACGCTTCCGCAGGGCTCACGGGAGCGGCGAAGCAGGCGTGCCGGCCGGCTGGCGACGGGGTCTCGACAAAACGCGACTGGACCGCCTAAAGCACGCAAACAAGAAGGGACGCTTGACGTTGCACCAGAAACTGAGAGCCCAGCGATAACAACAGCCTCCCTCCACCGCTCAACGCTCACCTTGCCCACTTCACCTTGACTGCTGCTAGCCGGCTCTATTTCCTAAAAATAAAGACAAAGAGGAGACCTGTAACACAGTGACCGGTTCCAGTTGCCCTGCAAAGACAAACATTGACTTACCTTCTCGGGGGAACCCCCTTACCCTGGATGGGGCTCTCTGCCACTGATTTCATCCATCCGCATCTGAAAGAAAGCTGAGACAAAAGTTAAAGTGCTGCAGGGTAACTTCACAGCTCCAGACATCTTGTGTTGATCTAGGGATATGTTCTAGACCCCAACTATACCCTACATCACAGATTTCAAATTACGGGGGCCTGGGACTTGGCCTTTTACACCTACAGCCAGGCTGGGCAGCAGGGCAGAGCAGCTCCGGGACAACTACACCCAGACACCCGTGACACACCAGACAACAGACGAGGGGACACAATGGGGAGACAAAACTCTGGGCCACAAGAACGACCGCAAGCACTGAGAGAATGCGGAACGAGATGAGCCGGGTGAGAACGAAGGCGAGCTGATGAAGCTCACAGAACCCGGGAGGAAGAAGATGCTGACGGAATGACAAACTCCAGGAACCGCCAGGATGGATGCCCAAGAATCTTACGGCCGCAATCCTCTACCTATCTTTGCGTTTCTTCAAGTCCTAAGCCGCTACAATGGATCCTCGCGGCGCACGGCTGTTGACACAGCTCGGAGCAAGACGTCTAAAAGACATCCGATCGGATGCTTGTCAAAAGAGACGCGATTCCAAGGCCCCTGAGAGCTGCCGAGCCGAGGGGCCCAGAGATTGG